ACTTAAACTGAATGAGTCTTAAACAACAAGGAGAATAATAAGCCATGGAGGAGGCTGAGACCACCCTGGGCAGCTGTGTAGACTGCCAAGAACAGGGGCCAAGCAGGTACCTCTGCTCCTCTGATCTGAGCAGCCCCAACACCCAGGGAACCTGGACGTTCCCGCAGCCCCTCTTTGGTGTTCCTGAGACCTTCCCATTGCCCTCCAGGCAGTGCCAAGGCAAGGTGAAAGGTAGGAAGACCCTACAAAGGGCAGTTGCAAGTCCCACATACCTCTCACCCCCAGCCCTGCAGCTCAAGCCTGCTGCACCTGCCCTCCACATTCCAGCACCTGAACCAGCTGGAGCCCAGTGTGTGGCCTAAAAGATAGCAGCCTTTCTAGGAGAAATGAAACTCAATTAATTCAGTCCCTTAGTCCAGGAAATGACTTCTCTCTGTGGCCCTTAGTGACTTTTAATGCCCATCAAGACTATACAGAGCAGGTGCCTGGCCAGGATGGCAGCCTAGCAGGGGAGCGCCAGCCCACAAGGCAGCAACCCTTGAGCCTGCCTCACAGAGTCACTGCCCAGCCCATGGACTCTTCCACCAATGGCCTTGCCAACTAGAAACATCAGGCCAGAGAGGTCCCCTGAGCTGCACTGCATGAAGGAGACAGAGGTATGGCTGGGTGCTTCCATCCTACTGGAGTCCCCACTGCCATCACCTAGCCATGAGGACTCAGGCCACCTGAAAGGAGCTGCAGTCCAGAGCAAGTCAGCGCCAAGTCACCAAGCCACTTGGCCACCAGACCTGCTCTCAGCTCCCACTCACTGACACTGACAACAGTCAATGCCGCTGACTGAGAAGGTCTCCAGGAGTTGACTAGAAATGTTTTAAAGAAATGCATTTCTTCATTTTTATTCTTTTTGTTGGTGTGCAAAAAATGCAATAACATGTAGTGAGCTGGGCTTGGAACCAAACAGACATGCGTTTAAATACAGACCGCAAAGCTTGAAGTAAGCTATCTCGGTTTATTCATCTGTAAAATGGGATAATATCAGCATATACCATAGGGTGTTGTGAGGATTAATCAAGGTGATACAGCATAAGGTGCTCAGAAGAAAGCCTGGCACATAATAAGGACACAGTGAACTGTGAAGTTCTGTTATTACTTTTTATGTCAACAGGCTTCTCATTGGGTTTTTAATGAGCATGTAAGAATGATGTGAAATTAGTACACCTATCATGTGGCCTGAGAGGTACTAGAAAACTCTTCCATAGCAATGAGATATACAAGAATCCTTTGTTAAGCATTACTTTCTCACCCATTGTGAAAAGGCAAATGTTAACCTTTCCCTGTGAATATGATGAACAATACCTGTCTAGTGACCGTAAAAGAACCTGGAAACTACACCTACCAACCTCTCTGGAAATAAAGTATATGGTATGTCTTATGAAGCATGTGGCATTTCCTGAATCTGTACGTCTACCTGATTCTAGTAGAATTTTCACCTTGGCACACCCAGGTTCCAACCTCATATCATTATAGGGAGCAGAACCCCTTACACTCTCCATCCATGGGGTTCTGCAAACCTCATGTCCTGATTCTCATGGGAGCATCTGGCCCCAGCCTGAAGAGAGTGCTACCCAGGACTCAGCTGGAATTATCAGAAAAAGATGTCAGCCAGCACCGGTGGGGCCCCTTGACTTACCACAGAAGGACTCCACCTGAGAACAAAGCCAACACATAAGAAGGCAGAGGCAAGAGACAGCAAGAGTCCTAATGACAGGAGCACCTGGATCCAGCCATGCCTAAAGACTGACCATTATGTGAGCTGCTAACTGCCCGTTTCTGTTTAAACTAATTTGACTTGAGTTTTCCTTCGCTTGTGACTGAAAAGATGCTGACCCTAAGAATCCCCTCGTGCTGAATAGATTAGGAGACTCCGGTCCACTACTACTGCCTTCCTCTAAGGCAGAGAAACAAATTCGGGACCAAGCAAGTATATGAGCAAATGTGTGTCCCAGGCCAGGAGCAGGACGATAGGCCTGAAAGGGCCTATGGCTCTTGGGAGAGGCTTGTCCCACCTAAGCATCTAAATTTAAGCTGTAAGACCACAGCTGCCTGCTGTGACCCTGCTCCATGGTTTCTCCACACGTCTTCCAGGAAGGCTAGTTCCACATGTTCTGCAAAGAAGGTGTTGATGGTCCCATCTGCATGGGAAGTACTGCATTACATGGAGTTCAAGAGGTTTCTTTATTACAGAACTTCTCAGAGAACCCAGTGGGCCTCCTTAAATCTCCCAGGCTGAAAGCAAAGGTGCAGCGTTTCCCACACCAGTTGTCCACTGAACCGCATTTGCCCACAGAAACTTGTGGTGTAATCCCGTAGTACTCCTTTGCAGCAATGGGGGTGTAGCGCTTTGCTTCTCAAAGGGCAGTCCCAAAGCCCAGGAGCACAAGCCTGGAAGCTTATTAAAAATGCAGAACCTTGAACCCCACCCCAGACATACAGACTCAGAATCTGAATTTTAACAAGATCCTTGGGGATCTGCACACACTGCAGCCTGACACACCTGCTTCAGTGTGTTTCACTATCTATGAAGGAAGAGTAGGGCTGCAGAGGAAGGGGTACTGTGTGGCATGGCTGCTGGGAGGATGAGATGCATGTAGCCTTGTAATGACTATTGAGAGGGAGTGCCTAGGGATTGCAGCTTCTATTACTACACCTCAGGTGCTTCTACCCACCCAGACTTGGGAGCACCGTGGCAGAAGGGGCTGGACAGAACCAGGCCAGACTCCTGCCACCACAGGCTGTGTGGCCTTGGGCAAGTCACTCAACCTCCCAGAACCTCAGCTGCCCATCTGTAAACCAGGGATGAAGAATCCTCCCCCACAGGGTCTCTGTGGACCAGAAACATGATGTTTAAACCCCGGGCCCTTAGCAAGTGGGCCTATAACTGATGCCAACAGAGGGACTTAACGGGCTAAGGAATTAAGTGGTATAAGATCAGAACAGACACACACACGCGAAAAAGAAAGAAGGAAAAAGAGAAGAAGAACTAATGATGCTGCCCCACTATCTCAAGGCCAGTTTTCACTGACAACATTCAAGGCCACTCAGGTAGACGCCAGTCCCTCTTCCAACTCCAGTCTTCTCTCCAGCTGTGTCTTGCACTTCTGCCGGTGTGTGTCCAGTACACGTGACATCTCACTGCACCTGTTCTGACCAAGCCGATACACACCTGGTACTTCTCTGCATGTGCTCTTCTCTAGGTGCATTTGCCCCCGGCAACTCATTCTTCAAATAGCCGCCAGGAGCACGTTTTCCAAGCCCTGACCAGAGTGGGCCCCAGCCCATCAGCTGAGCATGTGTGCCCCAGGTGGGCACCAGGCCAGCTACATCTCTGACCAGCACAGTGGACAATGGCGCTTGGAGGTGCTGGCTGAACAAACAAATCACAGAATGAACGATGCATGTACAAAGCCTCCCTGAAATGCTCTCCATCAAGTATTACTTAGCACACAGGAGTTGGCCCAGCAACAGACTACCTCCATGTCAACTCCCCCACCCCAGCCCAGGCCACCCCCCGAGCCCCCAGCACCAATTTCCTTTTATTTAGGAAATTCACCTCCAGTGTAAAATGAGACACACGTATGAGGTGCAGGGCAGCCTCAGAGGCAACAAGGATATAAAGGGCTGCACCGTGTTAATCCAACTCCTCCAAGGACATTTATAGTTGTTTGCAGTACACCCAGGTTCTAACTAAATCCAGCCAAAGGCAGTGATTTTCCGAAGCAACAAGTGACATTTCCTGTGTCTCCATAAAAAGAACGCCAGCGGTTGTGGGGCTCCGTGTAATTGCTGGCTCTGCAGCCTGCAGGGCGAGACGGAGGACAGGGGGCTTAGGGGCCAGCAGGACTGGGAGAGAGGCCACTTGCTCAGAGTAGGAGTCCCCTGAGCAGCAATTAGAGCGGAACCCATGGTGGGCGGCTTCAGATGTCTGGCCAGCACAGCCAGTCTGACCACCACACACCCAATCCAAAATAGAAAACTGCAGCGGCTTCTGCCACGTGCCAGGCCTCAGGGTGGCCGGACGGAGCAACGCCAATGTCAGCCTCCTCCCTGAGCATTGATCCAGGCTTCCTCCGAGGACCCCTTATGCCAGGCCATGGCCCCCCTAGGCCCTCAGAAGCAGGAGAACTTCCCAGGGCTCTGGTCACATTAAGTGGCCCAGGCAGTCCCAAAAGGGACCCACTCCCCAGCCTCTCCTGTCCTTCAGGGCCTTCCCATGGGCACCAGAGCCTGCATTTCCAAATGCTCCCCTTGGCTCAAAATAGAGAGAGAAAACCAACTTTTCAAATAACCAGCTGAAGTCCAACAGGAAACCACAGCATAAAAATCAGTGGTTCCCGGTCAGCCAGGGGGCAGAGGGATAACTGGGTATTTCAGCACCACTGCCTGGTCCCTAGGCTGGCACCACTTGCACACACAGAAACGAGAAGACCAACTGCCAGCACACATGCCCCCACACAAATGTCACACATGCCACAATGCACAGCAACACACACGGACACACAAATGAACAGAAACCTGCAGATACACACATGGACAAGACACAATGGTACATTCACATGTTCACACAAGTACACAGGTACTCAGATACTAGTACCCATTCCAAAACACATGTGCAGACGCACGGACTCACAGAGATATACACGCACCTGGATGCAAGATGAAGAAGACCTGTGCCTGCAGGCATAAGGGAGACCACACTTTGCTACTTGATAAGTGCTTTGGAAATGTGGCCTTCCCTCTGCATAAATCACCCTCTCTGTCCAATTGAAACAACTTGCCTTACAGCCAACCCCTTCAGTCTGTACCCAGTGGTCCCTAAGCACAAAGGTGCAGAGAAGGTCCTCAGTACAGGCCTTGCCCTCCCAGGGGGCTCCCAGATAAACAGCTTCCAAAGCCTAGGAGAGGGCAATGGACAGAAAGAAGGGAGAGAAGTGCATACTCACCAGCCCGTCGCAGTTGCTGAGGGCAACAGAGGAGGCTTCAGCCAGGCCGGCCACGTCTCCGACGTAGAGGCAGGTCCCAAGCAGGGGCTCCACGCGGGTGGCGCCCGACTCGCTCTGCCACTCCACCGTGGCCCCGGGCGCCACGAGGCGGGCATTGGGCCGCAGCCGCAGGTGCAGGTCTCGGCCGAAGACCGTGACATTGTAGAAGAGGCGGCCGCCAGGGTCCTCCTCGCTGCCTCCAGAGAAACCCGGGATCTGGACCGGGGCGGCCCTGCGGGCCCGTACCCCAGCCTGCGCCGTCGCCGCCGACACCACGTGGGACACCAAGAGGCCCTGAGCGTCAGTGCGCACCGGCACCGCCAGGATGCGCTCCGCTCCGTGCCCCTGGGGCCAGCCTGCAATGGGAAGGGACGTTAGACCAGTCGAGACCTGGGAACCCCAGGGCCCCGCCACCGAGTCCAGCATCCTCACAAACCCCTCCCCCACTGCGAAGGGAAGGGCATTCCGCTAGGCAACCCCCAGAAACTAGCCTTCTTCCAACCGGGAAGGGGCGTTAACAGGGCCGCCACTCCCGACCCCCGCCGACCCCGGGCCGACCCCCTCTAGAACCCGCCCAGCCAAGAGCTCTGCACCCTGCCCCGTTCCGGGTTGGGGCTCCGCGGCTCCTTGCAGTTCCCCAAGGGACGGCCCGGTCAGAGCATCCTCCGCCCCTTGAACCTACCGTCCTCGGCAGTACGTGGGGCTGCTCCGAAGCCATTCCCGGCTGGCCCCCTACCCGTATGCCTCTACCCCTTCAGCAGTCCCCGCCGCCCGACTGCCCTCACCGCTCGCCTCCGGAGCGGCGAGGACTCGGCTCCCCCGGGCACTGGCGGCCTGTCCTCCGTGTACAGCTCCGGGTTAGCCCGCTGCCGGCCCCCCTCCCCGCGTGCCCGAGGGCAGGGAGGGTGAAGGAGGGTCCCTCAGATCTTCGAGGATCCCCTCCGGGTCGCCCCAACCAATCCTCAGGGCCCAAGGCGGCGCGCTCCGCACCCGACTCCTCCCGAGCGTCCCCGGACGCGAGCCGGGGCGCAGCCTCTCCCTGGCTCCCCCGGACACGCTGGGGCTGGCGCTGCGCTCTCCGCCGCGGGGCTTTCCCGGCCCTCCGTCTCCACGCTCCGCGTCCCGGGAGCCGCGAGCGCTCCGAGGCTCCCCGCAGCCCGAGACGCCCAGGTGCGCCGCAGGGCGCCCCCTGCGCGACCAACCCGGCCCCGAAGTTGGCCAACTTGGCCCCGGGCGGGGCGCGCGGAGTTTGCCCAAGTCAGGCTGGACGACGCCTGGGGAGGGGGCGGTGAGGCACACAGGGCGGGGAGGAGCCCGGCCGACTGGGGTCGCGAAGCGTGAGGGCCGCGCCGCACCTACCTGGGGGGTCGGCGGCGGCGGCGAGCCGGGCGTCCGCGGGCAGCGGCGGTAGCAGGAGCGGCAGCAGTAGCAGCAGCAGCGCGGGGCAGAGCAGGCGGCGAGCGGCTCCCGCCGGCGGATCCATGGCAGCCGGACCGCAGCCGGGGCCCCGCACTCGCAGCCGGCGCGAAAGTTCCCCGCGCGCCGCCCAGCCCACATCTGGGGGCAGCTGGAGCCGCCCGCAGCTGCAGCACCGCAGGGCGCGGGGCGGAGAAGGCGAGGCGCGGAGAGGAGGGCGGGGGAGAGCGGAGGGAGGCGGGGAGAGGGAAGGAGCGAGAGAGAGAGGGAGGCGGGAGGGAGGGAGAAGGCGAGAGAGGGGGAGGGCGGGGACGGCGGGCGCCTCAGCCTGCGGTGACCCGGCGCTTCTTGGCGCGGCTGCCGCTGCCGCCGCCGCCACCGCCGCCACCGCCGCCACCGCCCGCTCCCCTCCTCGCGCCGTCGCCGCCGCGGTTCCCGGCTCGTAACGAAGCAGAGACACCCCGAGGCGGCGGCGTAAAAACACCGCGGGCCGGGTCGGGAGAGCCCCGCTGCTGGCCACCCTCTGCGGCGCCCCGCGCACTCGTGGCGCGAAACCTCGGAGGAGCTAAAGCCCGCCCGAGCATCCCCACCCAAAGAGTCCTCGGAGCACCCGGGTCCCAACCGTCAGCCCTGGGGGGCGAGGGGCCGCCTCTCCCTCTCTGTGCGCCCTGGGGCAGGATAGGGAGCAGAGCTGGGAAGGGGTGGGGAGGCCTGATTACTGGTCCATGGAGCTGAGCCAGGCCTTTTGACCAGTTAGAGACCCCAGAGGCTGAAAAACAGTTTTACCAGGAGGGTGCATGCACCACAAGAGCCACCCCAAAGATCAACTTTTACCCTTACAGAGAGAGGCAAGTTTCCCTCAGTCTCCAGCTCCTCTTTGCCTGAAGTCCCTCTCCCCCTCCATCTGCCTCCCCAACCCTCCATTGCAGCCTCTGAGCACAGTCTTCTCCACCTAGACCTGGGCTCCACCTGCTAGAGCTCAGTCAGGTTGCCTCCCTCACCTGTCCTGAATCCTACATGGGAGTCTAGACGCCTGGTCTTTGCACACCCCCAGGCTCTGCCTGAAATAGCCTCTCTACACTCTGCCCACCTTTCCCAACTCAGCATCCAAGGCATCCCTCTCCACCCTGGAGCCAGTTTGCTGTCAAAGCCCATTCCCAGCCGGACTCCTCTCCAGCACAATCCTCATTGCCTGTCCTACCAAGTCTGCTGTCCCCCAGCACAATGGCCTTCCCTCCCCTTGGGAACCCATTCCCAAGCATGTGTCTGTGGGAACACCTCTGCTATGTGACCCCAGACTTCTGCCTCACTTCCCTGGAGGGTGGACACCTGTCCTTTTGGATTTTCTCATTCACTCTGCCCCAAGCCTGTGTGGCCAGTGCTTTGGGGCTGGCCTTGGTCAGGCAGGGCCTGATGACTCAGGTCCCTCCCTGCCCACCAGAAGGGCCCAGTCTTATGGGTAAAACACATGACTTACACAACTTGCTCTAGCTGTGATTTCATATTCTCAGTTCCATCATTTTCAGGACCCATCATTTTCAGAGGGCACTGAAGCTTGATGGCCATCTTCACCTGGAAGCTTTCCTCTGTGACACCTGAGGGTGCCCAAACAGGATCCAGCCCCCAGGCATGGTGAACATCTGTTGTCAGTGTTAAAAATGGTAACGTTTCACATAAGAATTTAGACTTCTGACCTCTTTTGAGAAATTGGAAAGTGTGACCACACTGGGCCTGCATTTCTGCTTATCAGCCATTAAGTGGGGCAAATGCCCTGCAGGTTGCTGTGGGTTCCCTTCCCTTACCCACAGCAGGCATCCACTTTTGTACCCTCTGATGGTTCCAGAGAAAGTGGATGGGGATCAGTGTATGGGAAGAGAGATGACTCCAGAGCCAGGTATCCTGGAGGACTTCCCATAAGAAGTGGCATGGGTCGAACCCTGAAGGCTCAGGAAGCCAGGCAGCCCAGAGCTGGGTCCAGCTAGGTGCTGTCTTGGAATCCACGACACTTCCACTCATTCCCCCTGTGGCTGTCGTGCTTTCATCCGCCTCAAAAGATGAATGAGACCCAAGCAGCAGCCTCACCTATTTGATGAGGGTGATGTTCTACTACCTCACTTGCTTCCCTGCCAGGTTTATGGCGACTACCATAATCCTCCTACCACCACCATTATTTCTTTATACTGTACTTAAGTTTTTAAAGGAGACTTTAAATCACTACCGTAAATGGGAAAGCCAACATCTTGCCATAAATCAAAGATAACTGCCAAAAATAAATACATGAAACAAAAAGCTGTTATCAAATTGTAAATACTATTGCCTGCAAAAGGCACGAAGGCTGAAGCTGATTAACAAGTGTTGGAAAAGTGGTGAGACAGACTAGAAGAAGCAAAGCCCTTTCCTTTGATGCAATCAGAAGGACAAAAGGAGAATTGAAAATGACCGACTCTCTCACTTCGCAAGTCGATGATATTTTCTAATGGGTCCATGTAACAAAACTATGTTGCACACTTTGGAAAACCAGCTCTAGGATATCTTTTTGGAAAGAAGGTTTGTCTCTCTGACACTCCTGAGTCACTCCTGGCAACTGTTCCTTCCCAAATTACTCCCAGCTTCTTGGGGCTCCACCCAGACAGAGACCCCTCATGAGTGGAAGGCAGACCACGGCCCTTAACCATCCCATCTTTAGTCCCTACAATGACACCCCTCTAGGCTGAGTGGAAGAACCAAGCACACATGCATCACAGTTTATGGTTGAATCCTCCATGTGGGGGGCCCTTGTGGACTCATCCCAGCTTCCTGATCACTTGTCCTCAGCTCAAAAAAAAAAAAAAAACAAGAGTCACCCCTACTTCTTCAAACCTCCATGGTTCAGATCTCTCTTATTCCTCTTCTGGAAAATGCTACCCCCCCCACTGGTGCTTGCCTCTCTGTTCCCCCTTCTTCTACTTCAGGTGAAAGTGGAACACAGAAATCCCCAGTGGTTCTTTGTTCAAGTCTACTTATTCAGTCTAGATCCCAAAGACAACCCAAGGACCACAGAACAAACTCAGCTGGAACACTTATTAAGTGCATGTCATGTGTGTTTGATTTTAATTGAACTTGAATGTCCTTAGGTCTGGCTTTCACGCTCCTGCTTGACAGTCCCTACCACTCCCTATTGTCCTATACCTGCCTTTTGTTCATGGTTGTTACCAGTCTGATCCCTGAAGGATGAGTTGCAACGCTGATCTAGAACAGCCCCATGTTGTGGGGAAGGGATGAGAACAACTCAGGGTGAGCTTGAGCCCTCCAGTCCCTTTAAAATCTTCCCAACAACGTGAGAAGCAGAAAGAGATGGGCACATTTCCTGGTCATCTTGGGTGTCATAAATCATCACACATGCCTCCAAGCAGGAACGTTAAGAAACGTTTCTTGCCCTGTGCCTGCCCAAGCTCTCTGGTGGGAGCAGTGCCCTGCGTTATTCTGAAAAGGAGAAGCGGGGCTCTCAGCCCATCTCTGACTTCCGGGCCACATGTGCCAGCACAGACTTCATCAGAGCCATTCCTGTCCCCTGGCGGCCACACGGAAACTAGAAGTGTTTCTGCCCTTTGACGAGGTCACCATCCTTGGCAGGACCTGCCCGCACTGCAGGCTACAAGCAGATGGAAGTAGTAAGGGTTCGTTGCCCTCTCTCCCGAGAAGCAAGCTCCCAGGGGTTGTGGGAAGGGATCTAGACTTTTCTAGTCCTCTGGGGACCCGTATGCTGAGCATAACAAGCCGTGAGGACTTGGCGACCTTGTCAAAGGGCCTCTGAAGACAGCAGTTCTGCCCCCCTCTGCTGTTGGCAAACAGCGGGTGCAGTGGCCCCGTCAGATGCACAGGCAGAGTTCTGGCCAGGAGCGGCCTTGGTAAGCAATAATGCTAATTAAACAGAACATGGTGGCCAGGTGGCCTTTGGGGGTGTGGTTCTTGCAGTTTCTTGAGCATCCCCGGACAGGGATCTGTGTCAGGCAAAAGAGGAAATGTAGGTGGTGTCCAGGCAACAATTGTTTTCATTGCCATGTTTCACACAGAGGTGTCCCACCCCCACTGCAGTCAGTTCTGCCTGGAAGTAAAAAGCAAGGTGCTTGAGGTTTGGAGGCTTGGGGATCCTGGCTCGTTCAACACTTCTACAGGGAGACACAAGCTGGAGGCTCAGGCTCAATGTAAGCAGTAACGACCTGGGGAAAGATAAAGCTCAGTGCCCATCTGTGACTGTCAACATGTGCTCAACATGGCAGAGAGACAGCAAGGCCCAAGATTTTTCAAGGAGATGTCTGGATGTGGCAGGTAGTGAGGTGCTGGGTCTACTGGGATCAGGGTCTAGCTGTGTCTGGCCTCTCACAGAAGTCAGGAGGGACATTTGGTCCAGGCTTCCCATTTGAGAAAGGCCTCTGGGTCCCTTAAGATGCCCCTGGATGCAAGTAACCCAGCCTGCTTAAACCATAAGGAAATGCGGGAGGTCTGCGGGTATGACAGCTCTGGAGCTCAACCAGGTAGCAGGATGACCAAACCACATGCAGGTGTCCTCCCCTCTCCCAGTTGGACCAGCTGACTCCCCTCTGATCTGTGGGCCAAGACTGGCTCACATGCCCATTGCTGAACCAGCTGCTGACAAGGGGCGGGGGTGTAACAATCTGGGGCAGAAACACGTTAGGGGTCAGCCCCAATGCCTCCCAGCACTTCGCTTGCCCTTATGTCCAAATGAGAGCATGGCACAGTCCCCGGCTTACCCCGTCTGTTGAAAGACTATGTTCTTCACTGGACTTTTTGTTTATCCCATTCCCAGATGACATCATCTACAGAGCCTGGAGAATTAATTTCTTGACATATAAATCCTGTATGTAACTTGTGAAGGACACAATCCTATTACATTGTGGTATTTTGTGTTCAAATCCTTTGTAAGTTTAACTGGACATTTCCTAACTTACAATCTGGGGCATGTCAACGGGTGGCCAATGCCCTGCTAAACCCCAGGATCCCTGGCCTCCAGAGCTTTATTCTCTCTCGATTGCCTTCTCTTTTTGTCAAGTTCCTTCCACTGCAGTCCTGCCTAACCCTGCAGGGTTCACGGCATCTAGGATGTGGGCCTTAAAGAGGCTAAAGCTTCTGGCTGGGGCTGGCAGTAGCATTAACCATGGAATCCAAAGGCCAAG